CGTGAAGTTTTGGAGGGTTCCATTTGACGGAGGTCGCTCGAACTACACAGGCAGCTAATGCCCGATTATGGTCTTCGCGCGCAATCGCCGATCCCCCGACGCCTTCCGGCGGCGCAGCGAGGCAAACAACATGCGAATAATAATAATACTAATAATAATAATAATAGTAATGATGAAAAATCCCAAGGCCAAGGCCAACGCCAAGGCCGCCACCAGCGCGTGCACCTCCGCCTGCACCAGAGCGGACCCGCACTTGGCCGCCTGACGCGCCAGAGCCAGAGCGAATCCGCAGTTGGCTGCCTGAGCCGCCGCCTGCGGCTCAACCTGCGAAGAGGCAACAGTTGCGGCTGCTCCTGCTGAGCGCGCAGCGTGCCCCCCCCCCCCCCCCTTCTGGGCAGGCCCCCGCGCTGGGTTTGCGGGGTCAGCAGATCCCCATGGGCCAGAGCGGTGCGCGGGAACAGTGGGCCCCGCGCGCCGACGAGCAGGGGCGGGGGCAGGCGGCGGGGCGGCAGCAGTGGTGGCACGGCGCCAACGCCTGTTGGGATGGCGACTCCTGGCGCGGTTCGGGCTGGAGTGGGCGGCGCGGTGTGGGCTGGAGAGAGCGAGCGGGGGCTCGTCGGGCGCCGCAGTCGCGAGCGCATTGGGGGGGGGGGGGGGGGGGGGGGTGGCAGGGGGGCAGGGGGGGCGCGGGGGGAATTGGATGGGGGAGAAGGAGGGGGGTGTGGGGGGGGGGGGAGCAGGAGGAGGAGAAGAAGAGAAGAGGAGGGGGTGGGAGGGCGAAGGGGGGCGGGGGGGGCGGAGGAGGACGCGCGCGGAGGAGGATGGGGGGAGGGGCGGTGGTGGTGGTGGTGGTGGTGGTGGTGGTGGTGGTGGTGCGAGGAGGAGGCGGACGGGGGCGAGGGGGGGGGCGAGGAGGAGGAGGACGAGGAGGACGTGGTGTAAGATGAGGAGAAGGACGAGGAGGAACACGATGACGAAGGGGGGGGGGAGGAGGAGGAGGAGGAGGAGGAGGACAGGACCAGGAGGTCGAGGAAGAGGGGGGAAGGGGGGGGCGAGGAGGAGAAGGGGGGCGCACGCGAACGCCGCAGTTGCGGCGTGGCACGACAGAAACGCCATCGTCGTCGCCATCATCACCTCGAATCCCCGCCGCAATCACCTGCACCTTCATCGTTGTCAACAAAAAAACATTCCTGACATGGTTGTTCCAAGGGGTCCGGGGCGGGCCCCTTGGAACGCTCGCGGGGTCCGGGGCGGGCCCGTTGCATTGGGGAGGTCGCCCCAATTAGGATGGCGTTTGGATTATCCGAGACCGCAGGGCGGAATTGCTCAGGCGTCCAAGAAGCTATGGTTTTCATGCGTGCGTCGACGGAATCTCATTCTAGCGTCGACATCAGAGTTGCCAACCGCCCTTTTGGAGTCTTCAATGCTGACAACGCCATTGGAATTACCAAATGCTTTAAGAAGAAACGGGAGGAGAGCGGCCCAGCCGACTCTCCCACAGAGATAACCCCAGCTGAGCCCCCAGCAGATGCTGCGACCACAATCGCTGAAGAAATTACCCCGAGCGGCACCGCCGCCCCGGGGCAGCGAACACAGCGACGCCCTCGCCCAGAATCAAGACAGCGCATTACCGGGAAGGAAGGCAGTCCTATAGGGCCGCCCCCTATGCTCCGGCCCCCGCCGGCCCATCCGCGTCGGGCACCAATGCTGGCTGGATTGATTATGACAGAATCCAGACGCGGGCAGTCGAATCTTGGGCCGATGAGCCTGTCCTGGAAAGACTGGCTGTAGAGCCAGGCGACGGCCGCGCGAGCGATGGCGGCGGCCCCGGGCCGGCCGCGGGCGGAAGCTACGACGCGACGGTCGACTACGATGGCATGAATGAGAATGGAGAAATGCAAGGATACCACGCGCGTGTATCTCGTCATCAGCGAGTCGCTGGCCATGACAAAACGTGGCAGTGGTTTTAGTTTGGACGAATGCAACGACACGTTCAAACGTGACCCTGGGATGCCGAGTACCTTGCCGAAGCCTAATCCGCCGCCTACGTCGAAGGCGAGGCCGCAGGCGAGAGTGAGCCAAGTAGCTGGAGTTCAAGCAGAAGGGGAATTTGACATGACAACTACTATAGAGATCAGTACCAGTGGAACTGGAGTAACAGAGACACGCGGGATGATTCTCGTGACTGGAGGAGTCGCTGGCAAAGGTGACGCAGCACAAAAGAGCCAGTGCGACATAGTCGAGGCTGGTCCAAACTGCAAAACTGCATCATGGGGCCGGCGCACCAGGTGCGCGCGGGCATTGTGGCCTGAGTTGGGAAATAATTGCTCAGGCGGGGAACGTCGGGTTTCTTCGGCTTTCCGCCCCCTGGCAACCACCGTCGAGCGGTAAAATGCTTTTGGGGTTCGCTCCGGTGGCTGTACATATGTACAAGTCAGGTGGGTTGGGGGGTCGGAGCGGCTCAACGGACCCCGCCGCGGGGGGAGTCAATGCTGCACCCCTTCCGCTCCACCATCCTTTAGCCCTTTCTGCTCCTTTGCCTTGCGCGCGCTGCCTGATGAACTGACTGCTTCTGCTTCCGCATCTATACGCATGTTGGCTCTAGGTCAGCGGAAAAGGAGCGCGCCTGCGGCGCGCGCGCGTGCGTCGGCCGGCGGGCTGGCCTCCTCCTTTCAGTGTTATCATAGTGTAAGCTTGACGGCAGTATCTTCTCTTCCCCATGTCATCGGCGGGACCCATTGACCATGATATCTCAACAAAGCATATTGCAGGGATTATGAATATCCAGGCAAAAGATTCAAACGCCAGTTCTAGTACGCTGATCATTGGAAGCCGTGAAACTATTGCAATTGTTTAAGACGAATGATCGCGGCCCTCAGGCGAGAGCCACAATTTGAGAAGGAACCGCTCTGAATCCGTGAAGGTTCTGTACATTCTTAAAACGAGTATGTGCGGCGCTAAAGCGAGAGCCACATTTTGAAAAGGAGCCGCCCTCAATCCGTGAAGTTATTGCAAAGTGTTTAGACGAACGTGCGCGGCGCTAAAGCGAGAGCAACATTAGGAAAACCATCCGCCCTCCATCTGCGAAACGGTTGCCATATTTTAAGTTTCGGAGTCATGCGTGGTGAGAAAGTCTCAGGCGAAACGCCTGGCCCGCCCTAAATATTGCCTTGGGATGCGACAGGGATAAGTTATTTATAAGGAGAAGGAAAGAGCAGGAGCATGATGATGATGATGATGATGATGATGATGATGATGATGATTATGATGATGATGAAGAGGAGGAAGAGGAGGAGGAGGAGGAGGAGCAGGAGCAGAAACAGGAGGCTGACGAGGAGGAGCAGGAGTAGGACGAGGAAGAAGAGGAGGACGAGGACGAGAAGGAGGGGGAGGAGGAGGCCCTTTTCCATTCCTCCTCTCCCTGCCCCCCGCCCAGAATCGTCCTCACAGGCCTGTACAGGAGGGCGTTTTGACCGGGATTTTGAAGCGGATCCAGTCGCGGCGACCAGGCCTTCCAGAAACCCCTCCCCCCCTAAAAAAGCACAGCCAGTTACAATCCCTCGTGGTGCCCCCTCCCCCTCCCCCTCTCCACCTCCCCCCCTCTTTGTCAATTGCCATGTCATTGGTTGCCCTGCTCGTTGAGGAACGCCGAGGCGGGAGTGTATTCTCCGGTTGGCCTTGGCGCATACACGAGCGCAGGCCAATGAGTTTTTCGGGTTGCGGGATGGTGTTGGAGGATGGGGAGGGAGAATGAGGTGATGAAGATGGTGGTGATGCTGATGATGTCCAGGGTGATACGATTCATCATCATTCGGATGCTTGTGATTTTGGTCATGGCGCTGGTGCTGATGGCGACCGTAATCAAGGTGGTGATGTTTAAGATGAGGAGGGTGCTAAGGGAGGACGAAGTTAGGACAAAACTGAGGATGACGAGAGGAGGATGGGGATGAGGATGACCATGCTGGTCGTTGTCATGGTGATGGTGCCGATGATGGTGGTGATGGTGAAGTTGTCAATGATGCTACTAATTATTGCGATGGTGATTATGCGGATAAGGATGTAGGTGTTGATGATTACAATGATTGTGGCGGTGGTTTTGTTGACAACGATGGCGATTGCGATAACTATTATTATGATGGTGATGATGGCGGCGGTCGTTCTGGTTGTGGTTGTTGTGTTGATGATGCAGATGATGACACTGCTGGTGATGATGCGGATGATGATGATGATGCTGCTGCTGCTGATGCTGATGCTGATGCTGATGATGATGATGATGCTGCTGATGCTGATGATGACGTTGATGATGATGATGATGATGATGATGATGATGATGATGATGATGGTGATGATGATGGTGATGGTGGTGATGATGACGATGCCTTTGATGATGTTGATGATGATTATGATGAGGATGATAATGATTATGAGGACGAGGATGATGATGTTGATGATGGTGATGCTGATGATGATGCTGATGATGCGGATGATGATGATGCTGGTGATGATGATGATGATGATTACGATTACGATGATGATGATGATGATGATGATGATGATGATGGTGGTGATGGTGCTGATGATGCTGATGGCGACGACGACGATGATTGTGCGGAACGTGAGAGCTGGGATTATGATGACGAGGATGATGTCAATATTGTCGGCGCCGACGATGTCGATGATGACTATGTTGATGGTGATGGTAATGATCAAGATGTTGGTGATGTTGTTTTTGTTAATTTGTTCGATTGTGCTTAGCATTACCATGTGCATCATGACCATCAGCATGATGACTGATGGGTGGTGATGGGTGCGACGCGGATAGAGGGGAGGCGGCACCGGGACAAGTTGGAGCGCAGCGTAGGTCTCTCCTACCTCCTGTTCCTCCCCCTCTCCCACTCTTCTCCCCGCCACCCTCTAGCCCCCTCCCTTCCCGTCCACTTTCTTTCCCCTTCTGCACATCCAGTCCCTTTTTCTTCGTCTCCATCCTTCGCCCGCCCCAGGTGTGTGCGCGCGTGTCCGACTATGTCGGCTTCCACTTCAGAGACAATCGTGAGGCGTCGTGTGCGGGCGTGGAGGGCCCCGCGGCGCCCCGTCACGCAGAGCGGCGGGTGTCGGCGGCGCTCGGAGAGGCCGTGGGATCCGACGACGGCGACGATTGCGATGATGACAACGACGGAGGAGGGAGATGAGTAGGAGGACGACGGAGGAGGGAGGGTACAGAGCAGGGAGACGAGGAGGAGGAGGAGGAAGAGGAGGAGGGGAACGAGGAGGAAGAGGAATAGGAGGAGGGATTTGGGGGTTATCGGTGATTCGCGATGTTAAGTACGCTTCTGGAGGGTTCTGGCAGGTGCTGTAGGTTCCCGGAGACGGAGGCGGATGCGAGGGGACAGGAGGAGGAAGAGGAAGAGTAGGAGGAGGAGGAGGAGGAGGAGGAGGACCAGAGGGAGGAAGAGGAGGTGTAAAGAGGATGGGGAGTGGAAGGGGATTGGGAGGGGGGTGGGCAGCGCAGGACCATCCCGCCACCGTGCCTGGGTTGTAGGTCTGAGGCCTGTTGGCGGCGGTCTTGGGGTGTCCTGGCTGTCTTTCGGTGGCCTCTGGGGGTCTCTTGGGGTTGAATGTGCCTATCTGGGATGCCTCTTGGGGTTCTGCTGGTGGTTTCGGGGGTCATCTTGGGGCGGGGGGCTCGAAATCTCGGGCCAAGGACGCATGGGAGCAGGCAGTGGCACAAACAGATGGGACTGTACAGCCGCCGCGTCACTTTCGCGTCCCCTTGTCTGCGTGTACAAGCTGACGGCCTTCTTGCAGGGCCTGCCTTCTGAAACCAGTTGTTCTGCCCCCGCGGGCCCCTTTTTGGTGCTCTGGGGGCCGTCTTGAGCTTCCCAAAGAGGCCTGTGGCGATTCCCAAGAGGCCCCGAGAGGACCGTAGATGTTGCCCAGACAGCCGCCGACCAACTCTGCCAAGGATTCTGTTTGTGGTAGGTTCGTGTTGGGTCCACCTTGGCGTTTCTTTGGAATTTCCAGTGCCTTCCAGAGACTCTCTGGGGTAACCAGTTGGGCCTTTTCCGAGTTCCTCGTTGGGCCCATTTGGGGTCTTCCAGGGAGCCTTTCAGAATGTCCTGGGGATCTCCACAGGGCCTCCAGCGGGGGCCTTGACCAACATGCGTGGCCACTTGCTGGATCTCGGCCGAAGGCCCCCCTTCGTTTGTTTTGGTCGCCGTCCTACTCGCGATTGCCTGCTCATGTGTGCTGGCAGTCCGCGCCGCATATCCTCTTCCAGTGCGTCTTTTCTGAGCGCGCATGCGATGCGATTTGATTCGAACTATTGTTGGTAATGGCGCTTGTCGTCCAAAGCTGCGCGTGCTCACCTCCTTGCTCCTCTTCCCGCCCCTAGATTCTAGGGGCGGGAAGTCTCAGGAGATCTCCCGAGGTCTGCGGGGGGGCCTCTGGAAGCCCCAAACGTTCCAAACACATTCAAACCTCGAAGCTTGATCCTCGATCATCCTCCTCCCTCCTCGTCCTCCTATCCCCCAAACTTCTTCTTCAAGGAAGAGGGTGTCCGCCGTGTGGCCAACGGTAGCTGGCGTTCCTCCAGGAACTATCGGACCGTTCCGTGCCTGATTCGCATCATGTGAGTCCCTGGCTCGCTTTCTGCCGTTGTGCGCCTCTTTCCTTGCCAGTGCGCGAAGTGGGCGGGCTCGCCCAGGCTTGCTACCTCGTCAGGGTAGGATGAGGGGGATGAGGATGAGGAGGGAATGCTAATGATGAAGAAGAGGAAGAGAACGTGGTGTTGGATGGCGATAGTGATGTTTGCGATGGTGGTCGTGATGATGCGGAGGAGGTGATTGCCCAGGCCTGCTACATGATATTATACACCATTGCGACCTCGTTCAACGTCCTGCTCGATTTTGTCACAACGTATTACACAGTGTGGGAGGTCTGCGCAAAACCGGCCCAGCTGCAATGTGGTTTCGTATGTGTTGTTTGTCATCGCAGTATATCTTTCACACTTTTACTTGCTCACTCACTCACTCACCCTCTCTCTCGTTCCCTCTCTCTTTCTCTCACGCTACCTCTCTGTCCCGATCCCCTTGATCCCGTTTGCCCACTCCTACACACATTCTCTCTCTCTCTCTCTCTCTCGCTACTCTTACCCTCTCTCTCTCGTTCTACCCCTCTCCATCCCTTCCTTCCGCAGATTTTTTATCGAGGACGCCTACGGCGAATCACCGCCGTCCCCTGCCCTCTAGAATTGCCCATGTGGCCGAGCGTTGCGGCAAGAGCTCTGCCAGGCTATCAGGCCATGTGTTCCCCCAACCGTTGTGGAAACCCTTCGGGGAGCATTTGGGGGAGGATGGCGGGGAAGATTAGAAGCAGGCGGAGGAGGAGGTGGGGGAGGAGTAGGAGGAGGAGGGGACACCTTAGGAGCCTCTGGGGACACTCTTGGGGGCCTCTCTGGGCCGACTTGGGGCCCTCTTGGGGTGCTCCAGGGCCGTCTTGGACGCTCCCTGAGGCGTTTTGGAGGCCTCTTGGGCCGTCTTGGGGCCCTCCTTCAAAGGCATAAACAAACACCCCTACCCTGGTTTACGAGGCGCTGTGCGCTGAAACTCATGTGGGCTGACAGGGTAAACCCTGCGTGATGTGCCGCGTCCTGGCGGCTCTTGGCTTTGGGGGTTTCCAGGAGGTTTACAGACCACGCACTTGTAACCCAGGGTAGGGTCGTTTTTTCATCCCTCAACTCCTGGGGCAGTCTTACGGGCCTCTTGGGCCGTTCGGAGGCGATCTGGGAGGTCTTGGGCGTTCTGGGGGCGATCTTTGGGAGCTCTTGGGCCGTCTCAAGCCGTCGACAGGCCGAACAGAAGCAATTGCCACAATCTTCCACAGGTGATGTTGACCGTTTCGGGCCTTCCTGGGGGCCCTCTTGGAGGCCTCATGGGCCGTCTTGGGCCTAAATATGGGGATTGGCCAAAGGACATGATGACACGCCCATCTCCGTGCTCAGGGGCACGGTGGCGGATTATTCTTTAGTGTGAGTACAATTTCCGTCGTTCCCTTGGTATTGTGGTGTGCGGAGGCGCCCCCTCCCGCGTATTCTTCACTTCTCAATCGGACCGTTTTGCGATCTGTCAACGTTGCCCCCCATTTCAGGATCGGTACACTGTTCCCATTGTTCAGACTGGCGTTCTCACCCGAGTGCGCGTGGGCCAATGGGTCCGATTCGGTCCTCGCCGTTTCCGTATCCTCTTTTTCCCCCCTCCGTCTTCGTTGGTCTTCTTGTTCATATTGTTATTGCTGCGATTGCTCCTCCTCTCTCCTCATCGTCCTGCGTTTCCTCCTGCTCATCCGTTGGCTCATCCGAAGCACCCTCCTCACCCAAAGTACAAAGCTCCCCGTCTGACTGCGCATCACACGATCGGACCACTGCAGACTAAGGTCATCCAGGAGAACTCCGCTGGCGGATAGGAAGTAACCCAGCAAGGTGGGAACCTATTGGTGACGGGGGTCGGTTGTTATATGTATGTGTATATGGTGGCACAGAGCCCGCATTGGGCTCGCCGCGCACTGTAAACCAGACCTCACACACCTGGTCCCCCATCCTGGCGTCTCTGTCAGGCTTGGTGGCTGCGACTACCCGTCGCGCTCGTTCGCCATCCTTGTCGGCCACGGGCGTCGTCGGCGCCACGAGCGGGGCCAGTAGTCCTCGTGCGCCGACGTTCTCCGTTTTGCGGAAGGCGGCGGCCCTGATTTCCCAGGGGAAGGGCCACTCGATTCAGAGTTCGAAACCGTCGTCGCTACACTCGCAGGCGGTTCCCCGACGCATTCACGGGCCTCCGAACACATCCAGGGATTTCAAGGTTTCTGAGAGGCCTACGGGTTTGTCGGACAGCTCGGAGGAACGCGCCGCCCTTGACGGGTCAGGCGGCGACTGTGCCGACATTGGCACCAGAAGGAGGAGGATGAGAAGGAGGAGGAGGAGGAGGAGGAGGAGGAGAAGGCGGGCTTCTTTCGGGCTCACCTAGGGGGTTCGTCGAGGCCCTCGGGCAATCAAATCTTTGAACACGCAACTCAGCACCCGACCATCAGGAGCGAACGGCACCTTCCGACTCCGTATGTTTTCGGTTGGGATTTTGACTTCTGACGCTGACTTCTGACTTTCGATTCCAGGCCTTATCAGAATGAGGGGGCCGAACGGTCATTCACTGTCCCTGGGTGCATGGCTGAACAAGGAATTCGTGGTGATAATTCTGCTTGTTGCTTTGTTGTTGTTGTTGTTGTTGTTGTTGTTGTTGTTGTTGTTGAACTCTCATTCTTGAAGAATAATTATTGTTGATCCCCCCTCACCGGTGCACATTCATTTTTTCCATTGAAGTGCCCCTCCCGGGGCTCGCACCCTGTTTTTTTGACAGGGAAAGTCTTCCTGCTCAAACTGGCCCCCTGGCCCCCGGGTTACAGCAACAACGGCTCCCGCCTGAGGTTTCCTCACAATTTAGCCAGGACCCCCGTTCCCGCTCGAGACTTCCTCGCATTTTATTCAAGAATCGCGCTCTCGCTTGGGACTTCCTTACGATTTATTCAGAATCGCTCTCCGGGCGCTCTGGAGTCGCGCTCTCGCTGGAGACATGCTTGCAATTTACTGAAGAATAGCGCCCTTGCGTTGGAATTTCTTGCAATTTACTCCAGCGCCGCGCTTCCGACACCCAGGCACCCAGGAGTCGCGCTCACGCTTAGGACTCCTTCACAAATTACCTAGGAATCGGGATCTCGCTGCCCTTCGTGGCCCCGTTGAAGCCCTTCGTGGCCCCCTCGCTTTGTTTCGTGGCCCCGTTGCAGCCCTTCGTGGCCCCCTCGCTTTGTTTCGTGGCCCCGTTGCAGCCCTTCGTGGCCTCCTCGTTGCCCTTCGTGGCCCCGTTGCAGCCCTTCGTGGCCCCCTCGCTTTGTTTCGTGGCCCCGTTGCAGCCCTTCGTGGCCCCCTGGCTGCCCTCCGTGGCCCCGTTGCAGCCCTACGTGGCCCCGTTGCAGCCCTTCGTGGCCCCCTCGCTTTGTTTCGTGGCCCCGTTGCAGCCCTTCCTGGCCCCCTCGCTTTGTTTCGTGGCCCCATATATGTATGCCCTTCGTGGCCCCCGCTCGTTCGCGCCCGTGGTGGCCCCATATGCATGCCCTTCGTGGCCCCGCTGTCGCCCTTCGTGGCCCCCTCGCTGCCCTTCGTGTCCCCGTTGCTGCCCACAGTGGCCCCGTCCTTACCCTCCGCGGCCCAATATTCGTATGCCCTTCGTGGCCCCCGCTCGTTCGCGCCCGTTGTGGTCCCATGTGCATGCCCTTCGCGGCCCCGCTGTCGCCGTTTGTGGCCCCCTCATTGTCCTACGTGGCCCAGGTGCTACCCTCAGTGGCCCCATCGTTGCCTTCTGTGGCCCCGCATTATCTGCCCTTCGTGGCCCACGCTCGTTCGCGCTCTTCGTGGCCCCATACGCATTCCCTTCGTGTCCCCGCTGTCGCCCTTCGTGGCCTACTTCGTGTCCTTCGTGGCTCTGCTGTCGTTCTCTCTCGCTCTCGCTTTCGCTCGTCGTCGTCGCCGTCGCCGTCGTTGCCGTCGTCGTCGACGTCGTCGTCGTCGTCGTCGTCGTGGTCGGTCCCCTGTCCGTCCCTTTGGGGTCGGGTCGACGGTCCGCGGCCGCCCCGCCGATCAGCGCTGCCGCTGGCCAGGCCGACGGTCCGCGGCCGCCCCGCCGCTTGCCGGGGCCCGGCCTGCAGGGAAGAAAGGTATACCCCCCAAAAGGGGTTCGATTGAAGACGAAAAGGGTAGGTATCGAGGGTTTGGGAAATTCGCGTTATTCGACACTCGAGCAGATAAGGGCGAACAGTCTTAGAATGATTGTTGTTGTTGGTGTTGTTGTCGGTGTTGTTGATGTTGGTGTTGGTGTTGTTGTTGTTGTTGTTGTTGTTGGTGCTGTTGTTGGTGCTGTTGTTGTTGGTTTTGCTGCTGTTGTTGTTGTTGGTGTTGTTGGTGTTGTTGATGTTGTTGGTGTTGGTGTTGCTGTGTGTTGTCTCTCCACCCGCGACCCACCCGTGACCCACCCCTCGTCACACCCCGCGATCCCCCCCGCGACCCACCCCGCGACCCACCCCGCGACCCACCCTGCGACCCACTCCGCGACCGAACCCGCGACCCACCCCGCGACCCACCCGCGACCCAACCCGCGACCCAACCCGGGATCCACCCGCGACCCACCCGCTACCCACCCGCGACCCACCCCGCGACCCACCCGCCACCCACCCCGCGACCGACCCATCCGCGACCCATCCGCGACCCACCCCGCGACCCTCCCGCGACCCACCCCGCGACCCGACAATTGACGTTTACTCAACGGCCCTGGGCGTTGACTAAACAGCCCTGCCCTGTTCGATTCTTTCCTTGTGTGCGTTTAATAAACGGCTTCGCTTGTCGGGGTGATTCGTATGGGATGTATTTTCTGCCCTCTACACCCGCGACCCACCCGCGACCCAACAGCGACCCACCCGCGACCCACCCGCGTCCCATCCGCGACCCACCCGCGACCCACCCGCGACCTACCCACATTGGTTTAACGAAAAAGTTGGCGCCTGCTGTCTCGTTGTATAATTTGTGAAACTGTGGCGCCTGCGGCGGGCTTCTCTCGTAAACTGCAGACGTCCCCACCGCCCCCTCATTCTTATCCGCATCTGCAGGGTGCTACGTATTGGACCCGGTCGTTCCGTGAGGGTCCCAGGGTCTGAATTGACACAAACGCGCCCGTGCGTGTTTTCCACGAGTCGCTGTTTCACGACGTGGGCATTGGAGCTTTCGGCCCAATCACTGCTGGGGCTGGTCTTCGCTGCAGAAAGTTTGTTTGAAGGCCGATGGCTTGAAAACAGCTTCGGGATGCCAAAATTCGAAACACCCCAAACACCCACCAGTGTTGTGAAGTTTTGTTCGTGGCGTTGGAGGCCTGGCGGGAGGCCTGGACGTTGCCCTCCCTTTCCCTCCTAGATCCCCTCCCTGTCATCCGGTGAGCCGTCCCCTATCTATCTATCTATCTATCTATCTATCTATCTATCTATCGTTTCAGATATATATATATATATATATGTATTTATGTATATATATATACATACATGATACCGGAGAAAACCCAATCAGGGTTATAGGGCTAAAGAGCTATAGGGCTATAGAGCTATAGGCTATAGAGTTGTAGGGCTATAGGGCTATTGAGCTATTAGGCTTAGGGCTATAGGGCTACCGGGCACCCCCGGGTACCCCCGGGCACGCCCGGGCACCCGGGCACCCGGGCACCCCCAGGCACCCCCCAGGCACCCGGGCCCCAGGCACCCCCGGGCACCCGGGCACCCGGGCGTGCAGCGAAAATCGGCGACAAACCTAACCTAACCACATGAATCCGCTAGGACCCCCACAGAGGCAAACTCTGATTGGGGAATATATATATATATATATATATATATATATCCTGGAGCGCGTTCTGAACAGATTTTTGGGCGGATCCAGGTGGGGCGACGAGGTATGACCTTGATCATCCATCTTCGATTCTGGATCCTTCCTCCGCCCATCTGGGCCTCAGGTCAGCAAGGGCCTGGGTTTCCGAACCTACCACGGGCAGAAGGTGAAGGAGATCACCAGCTTCACCGAGGCTGCCAGTCAGTCCGCGCGGGGCCTCTCGATCGCGGAGGGGGAGGAGGAGGAGGAGGAGGAGGAGGAGGAGGAGGAGGAGGAGGAGGAGGAGGAGGAGGAGGAGGAGGAGGAGGAGGAGGAGGAAGGGGGGGGGAAGAAGGCGAAGTGGAGGGGGAGGAGGATGGGGGGTAGAAGTCAATTCAGCCAGGTCGACCGAGTCAGCGGCCCCCCCGCTCCCACCCTGCCCTTCCACAACGTAAGAACCAATGCTGATGCAGCAGGATGTTGGGCCTGGCGCGCATTCCCACCCAGCGAAAGCAAGGCGCTCGTGCGCGGTCCCGCTTCCGATGACATGGGATGGAGAAAAACGCAGCGCGACCCCAGGGGACAGTTGTTTGCTTAGCATGATATTGCATTACATCGTTTTGCTCTCTAATGCTCGGCATCGTTTTTCATTGCTCTGCATTGCTTTGCTATGCATTGCTGTACATGTCCAGACATGCCATTACTTAGTTGTGCTTTACTTGAATTCATTTTGCCGTGTGCTGATGTGCCTTTTGATTTGCATCGCATTGGTTTGCATTGTAATGTTTCGTTTTGCATTATGTTGCCGTACATTTCGTTGCAGTTTTTGGACATGGAGTTGTTGGCAGTATTTCGCAATGCAACTGTTTGCATTGCTTTGCTGTGCATCGCTTGGCTTTGCTTGCTCAAGGATTTAATGCGTTATTGACGACGCCGGCGGCGCATCACCCGCCGCTCCCCTGTAGTTTTGGCAAGTGACGCGCAGCATCGAGAGTCGTGACGCAGCGCGCATCTCAGCTGTCCTTGCCAGTGGTTGCCTAATGGCTTCTTTGGAGTATCGAAGACGCCTACGGCGAATCATCGGCGCCCCCTACCTTCTAGAATCGCCCATGTGGCCGAGCGTTGTGGCAAGCGCTCTGCCAAGCTATCAGACCATGTGTTCCCCCATCCGTTGTGGAAACCTTTCGGGGAACACTTGGGGGAGGATGTCGGGGAATCAGGAGGTGGCGGAGGAGGAGGTGGAGAAGGAGGAGGAGGAGGCGGAGGAGGAGAAGGATGAGGAGGAGAAGGAGGAGGGAGCATCTTAGGAGCCTCTGGGGACACTCTTAGGGCCTTCTGTAGCTTCCTGGAAGCCTCTTGGAGGCATCTTGGGGGCCTCCTCGGGCCTCTTGGGGGGCCTTTCGGGGCTTACCGGGGGCCTCTTGGGCCGTCTTGGTGGGCTCCTGGAATACAGTCTGACGCTGTCGAAGGATGTCTTGGGGGCCTCTCTGGGCCGACTTCGGGCCCTTTTGGGGTTCTCCAGGGCCGTCTTGGATGCCATCTTGGGCGTCTTGGAGGCCTCTTGGGCCGTCTTGGGGCCCTCGTGGGGCCGGCTTGGGGGCCTCTTGGGCAGTCCTGAGGCCATCTTGGAGGCCTCTTGGGCGCTCTGGGGGCGATCTTGGGGCCCTCGTGGGCCGTCTTGGGCCGTCGGAAGGTAGAAAAGGGACAAATACGAAAATCATGCACACACCTACGGAAAATCCCTGATTTGGGCCTCTTCGGGCACTCCTTGAGGCCCTCTTGGAAGCCTCTTGGGCCTTCTTCGAGGCCTCTTGGAGGCGTCTTGGGCCGTCTTGGAGGTTTCTTGGGCGAACTTGGCGGCATCTTGGACTCTCTTGGGCCGTCTTGGAGGCCATCGTGGACCATCTTGGGCGAACTTGGAGGCCATCTTGGCCATCTTGGAAGACATCTGGGAGCCATCTGGAGCAGGAAAACCTTTTGGAACCACCTCCGGAAGAGTCTAGAGCCTTTCGGGTGGCCGGCGGGCTGGGCCAGAGCCTCAGGGGAGAGTTCTTTAAGAAGAATAACCAAAAACCAAAACCGAAAGGATCCAGCACGCCAGGAACCCCTGCGGCAAGCAAATAGGGAGCGGCGGATCGAAGACGCCTACGGCGAATCACCGCCGCCCCCTGCCTTTTTGGTAGCACCTGCGCGGCCGAAAGTTGGGTTTGAGCTTGGCCAAAATATCGGGTCACGCGTTCCCCGAGTGGGTTTCGAAAGCCTTGGGGGAACACGGAGTCGGGCGAGCTATCGGACCAGGTGGTTTCCGAGCTTTCGTGCCTTATTGGAGGACGTCTTGGAGGGGTCTTGGGCCGTCTTGGAGACCTCTTGAGGGCCTTTTGGGCAGTCTAAGGCCATCTGGAGGCCATCTGGGGCCGTTTTGGGTACATCTTGGGGCCATCTTCGCTGTCTTGGAGGCCTTCTTGGCCGTCTTGGAGGCATCTTGGAGGCCATCTTGGCCGTCTTGGAGGCCATCTTCGGCATCTTCGGGGCCATCTTGGGTCGTCTTGGGCTCTTTTGGGGGCCCTCTTGGGGGCCTATTGGGCTGTCATGGGGCCATCTTGGAGGCCTCTGTGGCGCTCTTGGGACGATGTTGGGGGCCTATTGGGCGTCTTGGGCCGTCGGACAGCTGATTAAAAGAAAATGCCAAAATCCTCCCAAACCGAAGGAAAAACACTGATTTTTGCCCTTTCTGGCCTTCTTGGAGGACGTCTTGGAGCGCTCTTCGGCCGTTGTGGAAGCCTCTTCTGGGCCTTTTGGGCAGTCTTAGACCACCTTGAGGCCATCTGGGGCCGTCTTGGGTGCATCTTGGAGGCCATCCTGGGCCAGACCGATTTTCGGGAACCTTCGGGACCCTGGCGGGCTGGGCCGAAGCCCCAAGGGGAGTTCTTCTGGAAAAGAACCAAAACCAAACCGAAAGGATTTAGCACGCCAGGTACCCCTGTGATGAATCAACAGGGGGCGGCGGATCGAACACACCTACGGCGAATCACCGCCAGAGTCCTGCCAGAGTCCCGGACCATGTGTTCCACGAATCGGTTTGGAAAGCTTTCGGGGAACACGCGGGGGAGAATGGTCAGCAGCACGCGGTATTGACATTGCAGATGTTTCCGTCCCCTCACCCATAGATTTTTGGCGCAGAGGGTTCTGGCCTACGCAAGCCTTCTCCCCACACATTGTGCAGGCCGCTGGCTACGCAATAGGCTGGTGGAGCGCGGGAGGCCAAAGGTGTATCTGCGCGTGCGACTGTGGGGTGACAGGCGGCATCGACCGCGACATCGTGGCAGTCCTCCAACGCCAGCTCGATCGTTGTGGACCTGACCAGCGGACCGCGCCCGCCTCTGCTTCTTGCACCTGTTCCTCGGGACCGGCGTGGACGAGCGCCGTGGTCGGCTTCGTGTCGGGTGTGCTGGTCGGTGTCCTGACGTGTGTGACTTCCTACTACTGGGCAGTCGCCAGAAGGAGCGATGGCGCAGCCTCGGGCGCCTGCGCCGCGATTGCTTCACTCAATGATGCCAGGGTCGCGCCTGCGCGTGCTCTGTCAGCCGGGAGGAGGCGCTATGGCACGAGAGGCTGCTCTGCGCTCGCGTGCGGGCGGACGGGCGGCCGCGGGTGGTTCTGATTCCGATTCTGGATCAGCACGAGGAGGATTTCCACTAGGCCGTGGAAATCCTGGCCTGCGGGCCGAAGGGCGGGACCCCGACGAAGCTCTACGCGAAGAGCCTCTTCATGCTTGCCCATCAGACCAACGCCCCGTACGCCGCCTTTTTGAAGTCTGGTGGCCAGCTTGCCGACGAGCTCGTGGAGGCGGGCGGGGCGGGCGAGGCACCCGTCGACGATCCCAGTCTTCAGGTGGCCCCCGTCGATGGAGCGATGCCCGCTTCCGATGCGCACCCGGACACCAAGCGGGCGACCCTCGAGGCGCGGCGTGGCTATGCGATGCTGGACCACACCATGGTGCAAGGCCTTCCGCTCCTCCGCTCGGGTGATCGCGGCATTCTCGATCTTCTTGGTGGGCCCATCGCCGTGGCTGTCGATGGATTGGCGCTGGGCGCCCCGACGCCGCGTGACGAGCCGTTGGATGTGCGCTACCTGGACAAGACGGCGGATGCGGAGTTCGCTCGCAAGACGTTTGCCCAGCGCGCCCAGATGCTCGGGGGCCCAGCGGACAGCAGTTGGCAAGTACAAGGGCCAGCCACCACTCACTCGGTGTTGCAGACACACGCGGACGTCAACGCGACTCCCAAGCAGCGCCTTTTTGGGTGGCGACAGATCTTCGGCCTCGCGCCCACGGACCCAGGGGTCGAGGAGCGTTGTTTCCTGCGCGAGTTGTTCGAGATCGCAGTAGCACGGGGCGGCCTGACGTGGCCGCGCTGGAAGCGTTCGAGACCGCGTCGCGGCGCGTCCAGCTCTCGGAGGAGTTCTACGTGGAGGCGCTGCGCGTGGCCGAGGCGGGCGACCACGGGGGCCAATTGGGCGAGAGGAGGCTCTTCCTAGGGAACCGCTGCAGCAATGGCCTCGCCATCGTCTCCCCCGCCCTCGAGCAGCACGTGGCCACCGAGCTCCAGGAGGAAAGCGCGGTGCTCAAGGGGCGCCGCAAAGGTCGCGAGGGCATCGGCTCGCGCGCGGGGGTCCTACGCGTCCATCTTCATCATCGGCCGTCGGCGCTCCACCTCCCGGCGCCGGCGGCGCACCGTCAGGAGGCGCTGGCCAGCCCCCGGGTCGTGGGAGGGGGCGCGGCCGCGGGCGGGCCTGACGCCCCGCTCAGCATCTTCATCCGGCGGCCCGCCGTCGCCCCCAGGCGGCGGGCCTTTTTCCCACGGGGGGGCGCGCTGTTGAGGGCAGCGTGCTCGGTGAATCGCCGAGGTCCTGGAGGTGCGACGTGACGCCCTCCTGCTGCCGCTTGGAGCTGTGCTTGCCAGAGGGCTGCGGAGCGAGGCCGCGGGCGCGAGTCAGTCCTGCCCCCGCCGCCCCGGACAACGCCGCGCCCCAGAGAAGTGGTCGCGGGAGGGCACCGAGGCCTTGAACGAGCTGGGTGGTCGCGGGGAGGTGGCCGATCCACGTCGGCGACTCTTTGCAGCAACAGTTGGCCGTGCGACACCTTGCTCGGACACGCGGCCGCGTCGGGCGCCCCCGTCAGACTTCGGCGCTCAGGGGGCGCCTAAGGCGCTCCAGGGTTCGAGGAGCGGTTAAGCGGACTCGATTCCGCCTCATCTGGGACACGAGGCGCCCGAATGCCCGCTGTGCCATGCGCCTGCGTCGCGCGCGCGGCAGGCCAGGGCCGTTGTCGCCGACGCCTTTCTAAACCTTCGGGGCGTGGCCCAAAACAGGCGCGGCCACCTGCGCGCGCGCGGGGCGCGCCAGGCTGGCCGCGGAGGGGGGCTGCTCTAGACGATCCACCAGGCCCATTCAGCCCGCGCAGTGGTACTTCCGTAGCTGTGCGCGTTGGCCCGATAGAAAAGACTGCACCTGCCCCGTCGCGCGCGCGGCTGGCCGGCCCTCTCGCACTCCTGGGACTAACCTAAGTTTAGCGGACGCAGCCCCCCATATTCTCATTACGGAAAGAAGTTCGTCATCACTACGCCGAGGATGTTTTTTTCGTGTGAAACATCCAGAATACCAAGAGGAACTATCGATCAATATGGTCAAACATATGCCAATGCCATCCAAGGGCTGGCAAACTACTAAAGTATTCCTTGCTGGCTTGCAGGCTGCTTTGGACATCCGAATCTTCCAGCCCAGTCGATCCAAATCTGTCTCAGAGCCGACAGGGCGCAGAGCTTCTCCGCATTCGCGGCAAGATCAGCTGACGCGTTCCCAAGCCACCTCCAGCGCTCTTGAGATGAGATGCCCTGCTCCGCAGGGTCTTGGCGTGCCTTCACTCTTCACGACCGAATCGACCGACTCCGAACGTAGACGATAGATCATCATGAGCCCCCGCATAGGGCCGCCTGTAAGACAGCTGCAGCTACCCCGGATCGTTCCCTAAGCTCATAACGTTTTTTACAACTGCTATAAATCGTGGTCGGACCCGTGGTGTCGATCCCCGCCATGGCAAGGGCAGCGAACTCTCCGCAAAGAAGGGTTTGTGGAAGGGAGAACAAACCGGAGCGTACAACGTGCATCGTTCCGCCCCCTCTTCGTTGATCAGGGTCGTACCAAGGCAAGCCCTAGACAGTTCAGGGATGACATGCCTACGACAGCTGCCAATTGTGAGCACGTTCCGGCAAAACGAGCCATCGTCAGGGGGTGGTTCATGCCACGTTTGCCTGGCCTGGACTTGGGCGTCTTCAGACGCAGGCCAGGGGAACTCATCGCCTGGGTGCGGGAAAAGGGCCCACGGCAGAACACCATGCGAGTAAGGGGGTCGGTCGGGTTGGCCGCGTCAGCTGCTTCGGGGATAGATTGATCGATCATCCAGGCTCGTGCCGAGGAGAAACACGTGCTCTGCCAGAGGCGATGGAACGGCGAGCCACCGAATTGCCCACGCGTCAGTCATCGATCGTCGGCCAAGTATTATTCTAGCTCGATCGCTCTCGCATAGGTCCAAAGAGCGTCACGCACCAGGCTGCGGATCGATCTTTAGCTTTGGACGACCATCTGTTGGAAGTAAGCTGGGCACGGACGACATCGAAGCAGAGCCGATCGTTGCTAAGGCCGCGCCTAGCCGCATAGTCTCTCAATCTGTCCAATAACCGCATCTTTCAAAAGCTTCTCGAGTAGGCCGGGGGAACAGAGTTGAGCAAGATTCCGTCGCCGAAGTCCATCTTCAACGTCACAAGACTAGCCATATCCCATATGATCTTTCTTCCCCAAGGATAACCTCATGGCTGCATTCGGGCCGCCCACTTGATTCCAGGACGGCAACGGTGCACTGTGCACAGCCTGCCAACCCTCGCGCAGTGCCGGCAGCGAGAGGCCATACAGTCAACCCGCAGAGTAAGGATGGGCCACCTTGCCAAGGGTGCCCTTGCATCCTTGCCCCTTCGGCCCATACTTGGCCATCTTCGTTGGCCAACCTCGCTCGAAAATCGCAAACGTGGCCCTCCAAGGCCCTTGCATCCTTATCACGCATCCTCACTCTGCGGGTTGACTGAACTTGTACGCGTGGGGCTGGGCAGCCCCCGTTCCTTTAGCATACCTAATGGGTGGGGCCACCGGTCCTATCCACGTGGGGTCGAAGTTCAGGACGAGGGTTAGAGGTGAGAGAACGGCCCGACACCCCTGGTCTCATAACCTTCCCCGTCCCCCGGCTGATCTTTCCCAGCTCAAAGTCCGAGAGCCCGTGAACCTCAGCCCCGTACAAGACCCTTGGGAGAGCTCCTGAAACCGACATGCGCTTGCTAAATCTCCCCAGGCTGCAAGACATACGTACCATCTTTCTGGTCGTCAGCTTCAGGTGCCCCACCCGCAGCTTGAATTTCTTACTGCGACGTCCCACGCGGCGGAGTCTGCAAGCCGTGTCGTCGATCCCTAGGTTATTTGCGCTGGCTGCGACCTCCCCCGCCAGTGGCCCTAACAAGTTGTGCTGACGGTCGGACCTCCGGACGTGACGAAGGCCGCCTTCTCGCGCGAAATGGTACACTCCATCTCATTGGCGATCGCATGATGCAGCTGGCTAGACACATACTTACTATTTGCAATCACTTCATCAGTAGTACCCGTACTAGAAACACCACTGTCGTCAATGAATTGGCCCAGCTGGGTATGAGTGGGAAAGTATTTCTTGTCGAAACTCTCCAGAACATAGACCCTCACAAAAGAAGTGGCTAAGCTGCAACGTGCTATCACTCCTCTGGTGGCGAAAAAGGGTCCTACCGCCGCGCTGGAAAGGGAATTGAATCTGGCACTGCGGTGGGCCGACATGGCCAACCTGAACGGTCCGGTCCGAAGCCTTGCGTCGGCCACGGCGCGTGAGCAATGGGTGAACATGTGCACGGAAGCGGATGCCTTCAGCACGCCGCCCATGCCTTGACCGCCTGCTCCTACCTGCGGGCTGCACCGCCCTCTCGGCGGAAGTAGTCAGCAAGTCGCTCATGGGAGCCAGCAACATTCTCGCAATTCTTTATCATCATGGGCCCCCAAGATTGTCTCGGGCGGCCTCTTCTCCTTTTCCCCAGGACAGCATGCAAACGTTTCGTTTCCGACGTTTTCCGGTTTGTCCGTTTTCGTTTCGGGCGTTTCTTGTTTCGGCCGTTTCCGGTTTCGGTTCATTTCGTTTTCCGTTTCAGCCGTTTCGCGTTGTGTTTCGGACGTTCCGTTTCGGGCGTTTCGTTTCGCGGGAAGCGGGGCGGGGCGGCAGAGAAGGTTTGCAAGAGATGCCAGGCTAGATTGGGAAGGCTCGGACGGGGGCCTGGGGAGGTCCGAATGGTAGTTTTGGGTGGTTCAACATGTGGTTTGCGACGGGCGCCAGAAGTTACATGTCTGGGCGTTCCAAACATGCTTTTCGGGCCTCTGCGGGGACGGCTTCTGGAATTACATTTCTGGGCGATCCAAAATTATTTTTCAGGCTCCCGGGGGACCCACGGGCCCTTGGGGGACCCACGGGAAGGCGGGGAGAGCCCTGGGGTCCAAAATTGTTTTTCGGGCCTTCGGGGGACCGACGGGCTCCAAGGGGACCCACAGGAAGGCGGGGAGGGCCTTGGACATGCCAGAATTGCATTTCCGGGCGGTCCAAAATTGCTTTTCGGGCCCGTGGGGGCTCCGCGGGGAGGGAGAGGAGCGCCGTGGAGATGTCAGAATTGCATTTCTGGGCGGTCCAGAATTGTTTTTTGGCGCCCCCAGGGGCTCCGCGGGGACGCGTGGAGGGCCCTGGAGATGCCAGAATTGCAATTCCGGTCCCAGAGTCGCGTCGTCGCGGTTATCGTTTGCGCGTCTCTTAGTCTGTCCCGCGAGGGCCTGCGATTTGTTTTCGCGCTGCTTCCTTTGCCCTTTGCCCTTGCCGCGCGCGGGCGCCTCGGCGCCGCCCGCGGGCGCCCAATGCGTTTTTCGCAGCCAGCGTTTCGGCCGTTTCGGCGGCGTTCCGTTTCGGGCGTTTCCGTTTCCGCCGTTTCGGTGGCGTTGTTGTTTCAGCGGCGCCCCGTTTCGGCATTCGTTTCGTTTCGGTTCGTTTCGTTTCCCGTTTTCCGTTTCGTTTCGTATTGTCATGCCATGAGGTTTTTGAGAGCCAGACCGCCCGGCTCAACTCCCAAGCTTTGATTGGATCCTGATCCGGTCTTCTGGCCAAATGGCCCCATGTACAACATCTGTCTACGCGCGAGACTATCGCTCAAAGGCATTTGCTGGCAAATCTGCAGAACTGTGCGATTCGACACCCGACTAAACTAATATACGACGGGGGGACTCTGCAGATTCGTCTGAGACAATAGTTCTGGAACCCGTCGAGCCGTCTTCGCTCGTCTTGTTTAAGACAAGCAGCGAATCATACACGTGAGTTTGGAAACAACGCAGTGAAGCTCAAGGCGTTTCAACGAGACTCCTTCGTAGAACTTGGTCAAATCCCACAGCAAGGTCCTCGAGACCAAGCCCTTCTTGTTTGCCGATTCCTAGCGGAAAACCTGTCTCCACGCAACGTCAGTCGCCGACGCGAAAGACTGCCCAGAGAAGAAAGGTCTGGCGTGGCTGAGCTCCCTCTGCTGAGCATACACACTACGGCAACGGCCCCACAATCTGTAGAGCGAGCAAACCAGACCAACGCGTCGCCAACCACCGTGCGGTTTCATTGCCATGATGTTTTGGACAATCTGCAACTGATTAGGTAGGCACGATACTGATTCCATCAAAAGCATCAGCATCGCAACGACCATCAGAGCATCGTCCTGCATCCAGCTGAAGTGACGCATGTGGAAGCCATGACTGCGGACGCCGTCGTAGTTGAGTATTTCGTGGAAGTGCCTCGGACGAAATCGACTCCTGAAAACGGCAGGCCTCCTGGACCACGGGTTGTTCAGGTAGAATTATCAAATATGTTCCCCGGGAGGCTCTGCTGGGGCACTACCAGGAACAAGATTTGCAAAAGAGGCCTCCGCTCGGGCCTCCCAGATGTTTGAAAGCATATCCGCTTGGCCAAGGGAATCCGACAGGACGTTTCCAGCCGACGAGGGTGGTGGTAGGCTGCCAGCCCGCAGCAGGCTTCTATCCAGGTGAGCGTTCCTCCCCGAGGAGGAGGAGGAGGAGGAGGAGGAGGAGGAGGA